ACCCACTATCAAAACGTAGCAATAAATAATACATTAAAATATAGACATAATGAACACCCAGACACCCTTCGTCTAGTAAACTAGATTCATCTGTAACCTTGGAAACATGAATTATGATTTTAGCTGTGTCTTTAAAACCCAGTAATTTTAAAAGTTACTCCAAAATTCGCTTGAGGATGAAATGGAACTAATGTCTTTAATTTAATTACAAAATTAAATTCGGGGCTTTTAGCTTCCATTTTTGAAACATGGTTAGAACTGTGTAGCGGAAAAAACATATTTTAAATCAATTAATTTATAATATTAATGCTCTGTAAATTTACATTGAGCACTAATTTGTAAAAATAAAAATATCTATAAGAACACCGGATTATATATCTTACTGTTCTTTCTTTATATATATATATATATATATATATATATATATATATATATATATATATATCCCATAAATAGCTCCCCATAAGACATTAGCTAGATGAAGACACCATTGCAAATAATGTCTTACCATTATGCTGGGGTATTTCTGCCTCACCTGGAAAACAAGAAAAGTAAAAGCTGAATGATATATTTATATATTTTAAATGATGTATGTGAAAACTTCACTAATTCTATGATAATGCCCCACAGTATTGAGAGAGGCTTTCACAGTCATTTGGATGAAGGGACTACCAATCACCAATCCTAACGCGAACTTAACGAAAGATGTTATCTTCAAGTCAGTTGTTAGAGCACCAAGAGATAAACAACCAAAGAGCCTGTTTACTTACGTCTTCTGCTTTCGATATACATAACACAAACACGGAACATAATCATGGCTTCTTCAAGTGAAACCGCTAAGAAGACTTCCTTATGAGTCTTGGAATCAATGAAAAAGAGGTAGCTAGTTCAGGCAGGAAACTACGTACAAAAAAAGTTTTAAAAGAACCGCAAACGAAGATCGTATCTGAATCAGCAATCGCTGTAAAGAAAGTCGTTGATAAGCAAAGACGTTTTGAAGTTAAGTCCGTTGAAATCCGATATAAAGATCCGCAACATTGCCAGCACTGGGAAGATCGTATCATGAAACCTAATTTTAAATTTTCTTGACGTATTTAGAGGGCGTGAATTATTTTTGTTTTAGTTTTCATATTTTTTTAGGTTTTTTTTTTCTTTCTTTTTTTCTCATTTTTATGAGCTGGACCCGTTTGTTTGTTTCTTTCTTTCTTTCTTTTAATCATAATATTTAAAAATTCAATTTTTTTTCAAAATAAATCATACAACATTTGATTCTTTTAAATATGATACAATAATTTATAGCATAAAAATTGTAGCGAAAAGGTTATTTCACCTGTACATATTTTTCACTGTTCTTTAACCTGCGTATATTTAAAGTGACACAGAAAATAAAGTTACTCATGAATGTGTGTATTTATATTTATATTTATTAGTTATATAGGTGAAACTATACAAACGTTTGTTAAACTAAATGCAGGAAATTATATAGATAGATAGATAGACAGACAGATAATAAGAAAGAGCAGTCAGATTAATAATCCAAAGTTCTTTGGCATTTATTTTTTTTAAAAGTGCTCAATACAAAGTAGAGCACAATATTATAATATTATTATGTGAAAATATGTTTTCGTTGCGAGACAGAAATTACTATGTTTCGGAACTAAAAATTAAAATTTTGTTCCATTTTCAGCGATGTTGAATAACTTCAGAAAAAAATTATTTACTTTTTTGGGGAATGTAGTATACTTAAGTATCTTGCTCCAAATCTTCTGTAACCCCGTGCGTTCTTGAGGCTTCCTGCCTTGCTTGGGGTGAAACGCTTTAAAAAAAAAAGTGTTTAAGTTGGAGAGGGAATGAGATTTCAAAATTTTAAATGGCTGATGTCTTTTGTGACGAATCAGGAAACAGGGTCTGATCTAAAATAGAAAAGTGAAATATAGGTAAAAATTTTGGTGTCGGTATGTAACTTCTGCTTGCCGATACGGACTTTACTGTATGAGACTTGTCCTCCTGTATACCTTTTTAGGAACTTATATAAGATACATTAAAATTCAAGGCGTTATATCGAACAATGGGTTAATTTTGGCATTTCTATTTATTTTTTTTTTTTTTTAAATACATTGGGACTGTATTAAAGAGGCTTTAAATATGAATAAATCATATTTTATATATTTATCTATTTAATTCTAAAGATCTAAAGATATTTAATGGCATTGTTAAAATTAAAATTTAAAATTTAGGAATTAAGTACACATTTTTTTATTTATTTGTATTCAAATAACAGATATATTGTTATGAAAGTTTTATTAATTATATTTTAACGTGAGCATAATACAGTGCCTACAAAAACAGTTATTTCTTTTTGTTGATTTAATAAAACTTTATTTTTAAGAAAATTAATAATATATAGCTTTTCATTCATGCACAAAGGATATGGCTCATTTAAGGACCTAAAAGTTCTCTTTTTTGTTTGTTTTTTCAATAATTTCTATTCTACAGTGAT